CTAAAGAAAAAAGATAACCCAGCTAAGTCAAATTATCTTAAACGATGCAGGGGCAAAAAAGTGATTTTTCTACTTTAGCATAAACAGTGGAAAAAAAGCAGTGAATTTTAGCAGACGGCAGTGATTGTGCCCCAAGGTGAACATTTCTATTCTGTGTTTCTGCAGGTTTCAATCCACTTGTTAATTCATTCTTTCTGTGGAGTTAACTCTGCACAGCTCCTACTTTACTCCATGTTCATTTCAAACTAAATGCCTCACACCGAGCCACTGGCTCCCAATTTGTGTAATGAAGGTTTAATGGCCAATTGGAACATCCAATATCATTAAAGCCAGTGTTATAGTCTCATCCCAGAATTCTCCTTTCTTGTGATAACCAGAGGTGTAGACATTTGGATAAGGTGGAATGTGCAATTAGTGCCTACTGTTAGATGAATGTTTCCATTACTGCGGAGCAACAACAGACCGCGATTTTGACTCATGGTCCTACGTTCTTGATTAACCTTGAGTTAAGTGACCACCAGGAAGTGGTCATCACTGTTACTTCCTGTTTCACCCTCTAAAAGAATGCAAATATGTTTGACCCTGTCCTTTTATTGCCTCTATAGTCTTGGTAGGCTCTTTTGTTTAAATTTTTATAATGTAATTTATATGTAATGTATATACAGTGGACACCCTGAATACAAGCTTCCCATTCCATGTTACGAGTCTGCAACTATTGCAAGGTTTTGGTCCTGATACGAGGAAATATCTAGTTACAAGTGCTCAACCAGCTCCATTTTTCCACCCAGATATGAAAACCCCACGCATACGTTAAATACGGGCTTGACCATACAATATTCCTAGTAATGTTTTCCCAAAACCCTTGTATCCTTTCGGATGTTATATAATCTTTGGCTTTCTTATTCACGTTGTGTTAACAAAACACATTTATCTTGTGTATTATTCACACCACGTTGCATTTAGTAGATTTTAATGGCAAAATGGTATTATTCACACCACGTTGCATTTAGTGTGTATTTAGTGTGTTGTTTGCAGACCACAGTATTTATATAAACCAATGCACCCCTGCAGTACTGAGATTATTCGTACTAAATTTTTTAAGGCACGGACAGAATGCTAAAATCACTGTCTAGTCACTTACTGCTCTAATACATAGTCCAATACATATTATTTTTGCTCACTGCGGGAGCTTAAAATGCCATCTCATTCAGCGGAGACTTTGACTTTTGCTCAGACGCGACAGACCAGCCCCCGATTGCAAGCCAGTAAATAAGTCTATGACTGCCAAGCTGATGGAAACAATTGTTAAATGGATTGTTAGGGTCTGTAGACTGATTAATATTGTTCAGAACAATGGCTCCACCAAAGTTTAGAAGCAATTCTAGACAAGCCACTATTAATGTGCACAGTGATACCTAATATCCATAGGAACTGTACATAGTTATATATATTTTTGACATCCTCCCATATTAATAAAAAACAGGTGTTAAACACAAACATCTACCTGCTGTTATCCAGCAATATACAGAAAAAGGTTTTCACCATACAATTTACCTTGATTAATCATGAGTAATTCTAACTGATCCACAGCTACTATATGATCAATTAGATCATACACTTACATGAATTGACAGCTTTATAAAGACATATACAGTTTGACTTCTGTATTGACAATATGTTGTTTCATCCTGCCCTCTCTACTCACACACACCTAATGAGTATAAGCTGCAACAGCAGTATTTGGGTATTTTCACACTCACAGTTTGTAAAATAAGCTCCCTTTGCCCCCTGCTTGTGTCTGCTGCTGTGCAGTCAGTGTCATCACACTCACCTGTGTTCTGTGATTGCCTGCCCATTAGTCTTCGGTGGGTCATTGTTCTGCGTACATGATCCATATCCTGCTTTGTGGTTTTGCATTGTGCTCATGTTCCCGTCATGCTGATGTCCTGTGTTCCTGCCCGGTCCGATATCCAGTTGGTGCCTGCATTTAAGTTGCAGCTGTTAGCATACGGTCAAATTCATCTTTTCAAATTGAACATATGAATAGCGTTAAGTAGACTTTTACAATGATGTCCAAATGTCCCGGTGTTATATCTTAAAACTGTTTTTAGAAACTTTAGAAATCAAAAGTGTAATTAGAGCCTAGTGTTGTGCATCAAAATTATGAGTTAAATACAGGTGAAACCACAAACGAAGCACTGACCATCTTTTTTTGTCTCTTCTCAAAGATACTTTTATTGAATTTTCACATAAATATAGGGTACAGGTGTGAATTATTGTCAGGAAGTTTATAAAATGCAAACAACTGGAACAATATGATCCTGTAATTTAATAGTAAAAAGAAAGGAGAACCTCAAAGATAAAAAAAAAACAAACCTTATCTAACCCCCCTTTAACCAGACTTACGTAGCCAGACTCATTAATGTAAATAAATAAGCAGAACAAATAAGCCAATTCTTATTCAAAATGTAAATAAATAAGCAGAACAAATAAGTCAATTCGACATAGATTCTGGAGTGATACAGATAATAGCTAGGAGTTGTTTTTCTTAAGTATAATAAAACATAGTAAGATATTACAAAATCATTTATAAACAGATTATGAACCCACCAATGGGCCAAAAGCATGCACCACAGAGAGGGCTGAGTTGTACAGCTGGTATTACTGACTTGCCAAAAGAGAGAGAAGGCAAGGTAAAAGCAAGGGATACAGTGCCTAGCAAGCCTTAATATTACAAAGTTTTCCAAGAAATGTCCACACTTTTTCCATTCTTAATCTGATCAACTCAACTTCTTTCTGTGCCCATCTGTGCAATTCGAGGTTTTCTTCGAAAAGGTAAATGTCCTTTTTGTAGCTGTAATACCTAGGTCGTTGAATTTGTTTTCCACAATCCTAAAGGGGAAGTTAGAGTAATATGATTTTGTGTCCCCTTTTAGTCCCCTTACTGACAAAAAAAGTTCAGATTTGTTTAAACTTAATTTGTATAAGGAGAACTGCCCCAAAACAATCAGTAGAGATACCAGGGGGTTGGTAGGGGCCGAAGTGACTGGTCGGGTAGAGCCAAAGACATTATAACAGGAGCATGATCTGATATCGCTGATATGCAGGAGTGTACCAATGGTTATCAGTTAAAAAACGAATCAATGCTAGATTGTTTATATATGGGAAAATACCCATCTTTTAGCAGGATGATTTAAACTTGGGAAGCACCTAATATTCAGCTACTGAAAATTTTAGCGGCGCTTCTCAAGTAACTGAATGTCCTTGACCTTGTAACAGTGTAGAAAGGGGGGCTTTTCTTTTAGTAATGAACTTTGTCAATCTCCGGAGGAAATTGAAGCGTCTTTTTTTCCCAAAAACCCCGCACAAAGAAAAAAAGCTGTAGCTTGCCTACCTTCGGTAGACTCTTCTTCGGCTACGACCCTCCAAATCGCCGACTTTAGCCGTTAGCTTCGTGCTGCTTTTCTCCAGACTAGCACAGATGTTCCGTAGCTTACTGATACGCTAGCTCAGGTCCTTCGCAACGAGCTCGAAAGAAACGAAAGGCGCTGGCTGTGGACAAGAACTGTGGAGTAGACCTGCTCGAAATTGTTTGAGGAAGGAAGTTTAAAAGCCGCGGGCGAGCGCCTTCCTGTGCTGCTCTAGTAGTTAGGTAGATAGCCTCCATGTTTGGGCTTGTAGCTTGGGCGTGTCTAAGATTTGTTTTCCCGACTTTTGAAGCAAACGCGAGTCAAAGAAAAGAAAAACACCAAATATAAATTGTCCACTTTGCAAAATAATGCAGTGTTCAAGTGAAAAGAGTAAAATAAACAGGAGCTCTCAGGCTTAGCGTCTACTTCGTATCGCGCTCGACCGGAAGTCCAAGACAGTCTTCTACAAACACCTGTCGTTGAGTCAAAATTATCCAGCGCTGTAGAACAAAATTTCGTAAAGTAGGAAAAACCACAAAACTCAGTGAAAAACCTACTGCTTATTTAATGTTTCTTACAAGCAAAATACAATCAGCTGTTTTCCTTTTTTCTGACATTACCGGAAGTAACAATCAAATATACAGCCTTCACTTGTACTCAGAGGGAAGTGACTGCACAGGTCCGTTTTTACAGGCTGTAATAAGATGTGACGTGTATTCAGGGTTTCATCACCACGTCACCCCCTTCCAGCCTCCTATTTTACAATTTGAAATGTAGTGTGGAAGTTGCGTGGACGACACCTTAAATTCATTAAAAACTGACTTTTCAATTCTCTTTCACTGCTGACTGATTGTTCAATTCAATATATATTAAATCGCATGAGTAAAAGATTAATATTTGCCCACTTCACATGACTCCTCTCCTTTTAAAATGAATTGCGGTATTTTTCTTTGAGTGGCCAAGCACATACAAAAACAAAATTAAAACAGGAATATTTTTTTCTTCTTCTCTTTACCTGTCAAAACGTGATGAAGATTATTTCTGACAGCTGCAATCACATGAAAATATTGATGGACATTATTCGCTTCATGCATGGAATGTGGACGACTACATTTCCATTCTAATAACCACACGGCAGAAAACAACACCACTCCAAATATTTACTTTTCTTTTCTCCTCTGCTTCTCCACCATTATAGCCTCTAATGCACAGTGACAGACTCTGATTATTCGCATTGACATTTACGTGTTAGCAATGATTACCCTGGAGTGATTGGAAAAGACAGGAAACAAGATTTAGACCAAAAACACATCAAAGATGAAAAACAACGGGGAAACATTAAGAGATTTTTTTTTTTTCTGGCTCATGTGTGAGGTTTAACCTTATTTACATAAATACAATTGGGATATTCTCAGTCTTGGGTTAACATTTTCCTTCACATTGAAGCAGCTATGTGGATATTATTATTATTATTATTTTTATTATGCTGTAAAAAGCCTTCTGTGAGGATGGCCAGAGTCTGAATAACTTGGTAGAATCCCTTTTCGTTTAAATATTCTGAACTGGTTCAGGACCCGGCATCATGTTTCTGTCCTTTCTCTGTTGACCTTCCATTCAGTGGTTCTGCCATCACCCTGTAGGAAGGTATGGGGTGTCACTGTGGTAGTTGTAGTCCGGACACACCTTCTGCACCAGCTTGTAGTCGGTGCTGTAGAAGGTGATGAAGATGCAGATGACCTTGAAGGGCTTGGAGCATAACCAGGACACATGGCTTTGGGTCTGCTCCTGAGGACAGCTCTGTGACGGGTCGTGGGCACACAGCGAGTTCCTGGTGCCTTTCTCCACCTTCTCGTATTCCACCCTGCAGTTGAAGAGCTTGGTGTCCTTGGTCTCCATAGCCGTCATTTGCTGCTGCTGCTGTTGGCTGTGATGATGGTGCTGTTGGTTCTGCTGATGGGCCTGAAACTCCACAGCTTTTGTCGGAGGAACAAGTCCAACAGAAACGTTGCCCTGACCCGTGGAGTTGTGGCGGAAGTAGACGCTGAAGGTCCCGTTGCCATGATCTACAATTTTACCAGTGATGAGAAGGTTGAGCTTCACCGTCTTGATGTTGGAGTGAAAGTCGCCCCAGCCGAACATCTTCTTAAACTTGCCAGTCTTGACGATGGGCCTTCTCTTTGACCTAGACCGAGGATCATGGGAGCTGGAGGTGTTGTACAGCCAGTTCCACTGCTCTGGTTTGGACAACGAGTCAGTCTCGTCCAGATCCACAGAGGTGAAGTTGTCCTTGTCGTAGAGTGTCTGATAGAGCAGGCGACTGATGGAGAAGGTCTTACTGCTCTCGCTCCAGTACGTCTTCACTTTGGATTTGGTGCTTTGTCTTAGATCGGGACCTCCAGAACTGGGTGAAACAGCAGTGGTAACCTAAAAGAATGATATAAACAGACAGAGTCAAAGACAAAGTCACACAATTTGAAAAAAAAAAAAAATCTTTATCTAAAACACAGGACCAGGACTTTATTAAATTAATTTTAAAAAGTAATCACAGAAATATAGCACTTGCACTTATTATACATTTCTGTTCTCTAATTTCTGGCACACTGGTAACACCGATGCACATGAAGCAATGAGTGATGACAGCACACAAGAAGGTTTGGTAAACAATGACGAACAAAGACTTGGCTTTTTAAATCAGTTTCATCAATTGATATTTAATAATGTTTTCTCACGTGATTCTTTTTTTTTTAGATTGCATTCCAGGACTTCAGGGGGTTCCATGCCAAGGCTCCCCAAACAGCATTGACCCACAGACAATACTACAAATTATGTAAAGAAACATCAACTTATAGAATGTATTTTCGTATTTTTATTCGCTCTGTTTCACATCAGAAAAATATTCAATTTTTTACCCCCAAACCTCCAAGTGCCAAAGAGCGGCCGACCAAGGGGCCACAGCCCCCACTTTGGAAACAGCTGGATTTAACATTTTTATCACTTTTACTAAGGACAGAGAGGGAAACTAAGGTTTCTCCCTCTGTCCTCAGCGCATATTGTTCCCGCTGGCAACGAGAGAAGTCTGATAGTTACATCCTCGGGGGATATGAAACAAGTAAGAAACTTCCATGAAATAAAGTGTTAGATTTAAAGTCTTGCGCAGTTAGGAATGTAGTTTCACAGTATCTACAAGGATGGACAAGTCGTCTCAAATAAATGATCTCATCTTCTGCCGAACATCTCTGCAGCTGTAGCCGAAGCAGGTCTATCACTATCTGTGTGTCTGAGATTTGTTTTCATTTATCCCCTCACACATTAACTCCACAGCCAGGTCTCAGCGCTCGGGTCCATTACAGGAGGCAGTATAGTTTTTATTCAGACAGACGGGGAGTTAGTGTGTGGACATCAGACGGCAGATGCTGCTGAAAAAGGTTCTGGCTGTAGAACTGCTTCTAATTTTAGCTGCTTTAGGAGCCGCATTAAAGTCCAGACATTTTCCTGAAATGATCCAGAAAGTCTGGATTTAAGGATGAAAATATTAAAGGTTCTCCTGATATTTGTGGATAATATACGTAGTAAGCTAGTACTGATACCTTTCTTCTGTGAGAGCATGAGTTTCTGTGGTGGAAAAAAAAAAATCCTGTGGAACATTTAATTTAGTGCTAATGCGAGGAAACGGCTGTAGAATTTAAAAAACACAAGTTGCTAGGTCTGGTTAATACAGTGCTTCTCAAATGGTGGGACGGGCTACCCTGGGGGGGCGCAAGGTCCTTCTAATGGAATATGGCACGCTGTACCACTGCTGTAATGCTTGAATGATAACAAGCCTCCAGTCACTAGGTGGCAGCAACTCATACAGTGGTTTGTACAGATAAAATTATACACGTTATCAGGTTCTCAATAGTATTTTAGAAAATAATTTAAGAACCACTAGGTTAATAGTACTAATTCCTAGAAGTACAGGAAGTACATGCTGACCGTGGGTTCTGGTACTATTCCAGTTCAAATGCCCATAGTTACAGGTACTAGCCCAAATTGTGATACAGTAAGTACGGCTGTAATAGTGCACTCTGCTAGTTCCTGGTACTGTTTTCCCCTAATAAAAATGTACAATTTTCTTGGTTGTTTCTAGTTTATAGTGAAGTACCTTTGCTAAAAAAAACGTTTTTTTAAGAGATTCAACTATTTATTGTAACTGGTTGTTGTACCTGAACCTTACGTAGTTCTTTCCCTGTCCTTGGGTGTGGTTCCTGTGGTGCAAACATGCACATTTAGACATTCCATTTTAAAACTGTTTGAGTCAAACTAACATGTTCATTCATAAGTCAGTTTACATCAGACTAACACAATAATTCAGTTCTTCCAAGGTCATGTAAATGTTTTCTGTCTGGCGGAGTGTGAAGACCATCTTCGGCGCTGCGTCCTAATCAAGATTAAAGGTCTTCCTGCCACACGTGGAGATGAATGAAGCTCTTCGCTGGTGTTGGACGCTCTAATGCTACAGCAGACTATTACCTGCTGAATGTGCCCTGAACGGATGATTGATGGTTCCTGCTTAACCCTCACACAGACCAGACAGAGAGAGCGATTCGACGCCGGTTCAGCGCCCTGCAGAAGCTCCTGACAGTGATGTTCCAGCCCGGCTTGTGGAACCTGACAGCAGATCTATCTGGACTATGGTTTTTATTTATATATATATATAAATATATGGAGTTATATATATATATATATATATTTAATTTTATA